GGTGGCCATTATGACACACTCTACCAGGAAGGTCAGAGAGGGAAGGGCATTGTCCAGAATCGCACCGTGAATAGGGGCTGAGACAGAACAAGAATCCGGGCCCACGGCTTTGAGTCCTGGCTTGGCAGCCAGGAGGAGTCAGGGAAGGACTGGCTCAGGCAGAACTGCACTCAGGTGAGTTCTCAGAGGCATCGCCTCAAACCCCACAGCCCTTACCTATCACTCCCAGTGATCCCTGGGCCGGCTAAAGGGGAAATGGAGGAATATCTGATGGCAGATAGTAGGTGTGCAATAAATGCTTTTGGAGAAAAGGGAGGGAGAGGGTGCAAAAGTGGATAGCCACGTGGAGGATTGGGCACGTCAGCGAACGAGCTATTGAATAAACGGAGAACCGGGTGGGGGTGGGGGGCGGAGGAGTGCATGAGTGGGAAGACGGCTCTGGGTGTGACAGCTGAAGGAGGAGTCGGACGCTCTTCAGTCACTAGCCTGTCCATTTGACAGGTGAGAAGACTGAGAAGAGGCTGAGGCGAAAAGAAACTGCTGAGTCTATAGCGGTGGTCGGCAAACTCATTAGTCAGCAGAGCCAAGTACCCACAGCCCAGCGTTTGAGATTTCTTATGAAAGCCAAGTTTTTTTAAACTTCTTCTAACTAACGCCACTTCTTCAAAACAGACTCGCCCAGGCCGTGGTGTTTTGGTGGAAGAGCCACACTCAGGGAGCCACACGAGCCGCATGTGGCTCTCGAGCCGCAGTTTGCCAGCCACCGGTCTGTAGGGCTGACCTTGGACCAGCAGCCTCTGGTCCCCCTGCTCCCCCTCCCCCTCCACCCCCTCCCACCTCCACCCACCCCCATCGCCCTCTTTCCTCTGCGGGGTGGGGAGGGTTCCGGGAAGGAGACCTCTCCTCGACCTCCTGCTCCTCTTAGGCCCAGTTTCCGCCAGGCCGTGGTGTCGGGGGTGTGCGGGCGGGCGGGCGGGGGTGGCCCCCACAGGGGCTATTTCAGTCAGGGACAGCCCTGCCGGGAAGCAGAGGAAGCTGCCGCCCCTCGGAGGTGTCGCCCGGGCTGAGGGTGTGGAGCTGCGCTGGCTTCCCCTTGCTCCCACACCCCCGGGGCCACCGCGGCGGGCGCTCGGCACCGGAGGCTGCATGTGAGTCGGTGCGTCCCCGGGGCCGCGGCCGGCGGGCAGTGGGGCTGGGGCTGGACACAGGGGCTGTGACCTCGGGCAGGCAGGCTGGGCTTAGCGCTGACCTAAGGGAGGTCCACAGAGTTGGGGTGCCCGGAGGAAGGGACTCCACCCAGCCGGGGGATCAGAAAAGGAAGAAGCGCCCTGGCTGGTGAGCTCGGTTGGGTGAGCATCTTCCCGTGCACCTAGAGGTCAGCGGTTCGATTCCAGTCGTGGGTTCAATTTCTGGGAGGCAACGGATCCATGTTCTCTCACATCGATGTCTCTCTCTCTCTCTCTCTCTCTCTCTCTCTCTCTCTCTCTCTCCTCAAATCAATAAAACCCTATTTTTAAAAAAATCTCTCTCTCTCTCTCTCTCTCTCTCTCTCTCTCTCTCTCTCCTCTTCTCTCTCTAAAATCCATAAAAACATTTTTTTTTAAAGAAAGGAAGAAGCAAGATTGGATCTGGGGCTTGATGGGCACAGGGTTTTGAGGATCAGCCGGGTGGAGTGGCACTTTGTGTGAAGGGAACGGTGAAGATGGGCGGCTGGGGAGGAGCCTGGCCTCTTGGGACCAGTGTGGTGAGGGGCAGCGTTGAGGGGCCTGGGGTGCTTCAGATGAGGCTGGAAGGCTCAGCAGACGCTTGACTGTCAGGACAGGAGTTTGAGTTTTTCCCCATCGGACAGAGGGGTGCAAGGAAGGAGGTCATCAGAACCACCTAGAAACTCCACCACAGGCAGAGCAGTGGAGCCCAGGAAGCGGCCGGGGTCTGAGCTGGTCTGGGCCTCAGGGTCCAAGAACGGGTGACAGATGTGATGGCTGTAGGGAACCAGTGTCACTGCTGCCTGGAGGCAGGGGGGTATCCCTCTCCCTCTCCCTCTCCCTCTCCCTCCCTCCCTCCCTCTCTCTCTCTCTCTCTCTCTCTCTCTCTCTCTCTCTCTCTCTCTCTCTCTCTCTCTCTCTCTCGGAACCAGCTTCTGCCAGGACTAGGAGAACAGCTCACTCCTACGTCCTGGGAAGGCAGAATGGAGGAGGGAGCCAGGTGACAGCCAGGCCTGGAGCAGACCTGAAGGTCAGCCCTGGACCCTCCCATGCAGCCCTGCATCCTTCACGGAAGCCAGAGGGCTCTCTGGGGTGTGTCTGAGGGTGACAGGCCTCTCAAAGAAGGGTTCAGGGGTGCAGCACGGTTCCTCCCACCAGCTTCCTCCTCCTCCCCAGGACCCTCTGCCCCAGCAGGCTGCTCTCCTCTCAGGCCCTGCCTGCTCCACCTTCCTCCACACCTGAGACCACCCCAAGCGTCCTCGCATCCCTCTGCACCCAGGGCAACCCTCTTCGACCCCCAGGGACTCGTCCATCCCTCATCCTCCTCTGCAAAGTCTCTTCCATCCTATGGATCGCACTGGTCTCCCCTCAGACTAGCCCATCTACTGGGTAGGGCAAAAGTAGGTTTATAGTTGTTACTCTAGATCCGTGGTCGGCAAACTGCGGCTCACAAGCCACACGCGGCTCTTTGGCCCCTTGAGTGTGGCTTTTCCACAAAATACCACGGCCTGGCTGAAACCGGTTGGGCTCAGTGGGTAGACCGTTGGCCTGCGGACTGAAAGGTCCCAGGTTCGATTCTGGTCAAGGGCATGTACCTTGGTTGCGGGCACATCCCCGGTAGGGTGTGTGCAAGAGGCAGCTGGTCAATGTTTCTCTCTCATCAACGTTTCTGGCTCTCTATCTTTCTCCCTTCCTCTCTGAAAAAACTCAATAAAATATATATATATTTTTTTTTGAAAAATACCACGGCTTGGGTAAGTCTATTTTGAAGAAGTGACATTAGAAGAAGTTTAAGTTTAAAAAAATTGGCTCTCAAAAGAAATGTCAATTGTTGTACTGTTGATATTTGGCTCTGTTGACGAATGAGTTTGCCAACCACTGCTGTAGATAATAAGACAATAACTAACAAACCAGAATAGACAGTTTATTTTTTCAAACCTACCTTTGGCCCCACCCTGGATAAGTATAGATAAATGTGCATATGTATGTCTGTATCTGTATCTGTCTGCCTTCATCAGCATCCATATTCTGTGTCCTCATGCGTCCAGCGGGCTCATTAAATGCCCAACATGCAGAAACCAGAAAGTGAATGCATGAACGAGAGAATGGCCTGAACAAATGAGTGAAGAGGTGAATGGATAAACTTTATCTTGCCTGTACTAATCTTGCCTTCCTGCTACAGTGGGGGTATTGCCAGGCCTCCTTCTTGGCCTCCCCTTGTGCCTAACTGGTGAGCTGGGCACCCAGTACCCCTAACTCATGGGATAAAATCCACAAGAATCTTAGGTAACTACAGGTGATAAGGCGTGTGATATAACAGACTAGAGAATCCAAACATCATCATTTTGCTGTTGCCCAGCATCCGGGTAAAATATTTTCATTAAAATCAAATTTCAGGCTGAAACCGGTTTGGTTCAGTGGATAGAGTGTCGGCCTGCAGACTGAAAGGTCCCAAGTTCGATTCCTGTCAAGGGCATGTACCTTAAGGGCACATCCCAAGTGTGTGTGGGGGTGGGGGGGGGGAGTGCAGGAGGCAGCTGGTCGATGTTTATCTCTCATCGATGTTTCTAGCTCTCTCTCTCCCTTCCTTTCTGTTAAAAAAAATCAATAAAATATATATATGTTTTAAAAATTTCATGTTGGAAGAAATTAGTGTGGGGAGTTATGTTTTGCTCTATTATAACTTAAAAATCTGGTAGCTTCGCTTAGCAGGTACATCCACATTAGGGACAGCTACCAATTGCCCTGGGCCAAGCACTGATCTTCACAACATCCCTGTGAGGCAGGTGCTATGTTACCCCATTTCACAGATGGGGAAACGGAGGCATGGAGGCCGAGTAATGAGCCTCAGGCCACACAGCTCACAGAGCCAGGATTTGAACCTGGGCATCTGGACCAAAGCCCATATTCTTGGGCTCAACCCTCTGTCACCCTCTGAGTGCCTTTGCAGGACTTAATTTTTTTCTGGGCCTCAGCTTTTCCCATCTGTAACAGAGGGGGAGGCTTTGATTCACTCTCTCAATGGCATTGCCTTACAGGTCCACTGGGGTGAAGTAATGAATCCTCTGTGGACACCAGTGAAATGTGAAAATGCCAGGTGAGAAGTGAGCAACAGGAAGTTGCTCGTCCACCAGGGGCAAATCCTTACGGCATTTGTGCTACTGGCTCCCCCAAACCTCAGCCTGGAGGGATGAGTGGAGGGATCAGGTGTAGGATAGAACAGCAAGGCATGGCGATTATTAAGCACCTGCTGCATGTCAGGCCTAGCATGCATTTTTCTGATGAGGACACAGGCCCAGAAAAGGTAAGTGGCATGCCCTGGGTTGAACAACCCGGAAGAAGGGATGTCAGGATTTGAACAGAGCCTGCCTGATTCCTTGAAAAAGGCTGGGCATGGAACCTCTACATTCCATGTCCATGGGCTACGCCAAGATCCCTCCTGAGTCAGGTGGTTGGGCTCTGGCTCCAACTCCCACTTGGGCTCTGCCTCCAATTCGCTAAGATTAAGCAGCCACCTCCCCCGCACTACGTCTGGATTCCCCTCCCTGTTAAGTAAGCGGTTGATGTGGTTGCTCCCTCTGCTGTCTGCCTCCAGGAAAGCTGTTTTTACTCTAGCCGCCAGAGGGCGCTGTGGCTCCGGCGGCTCTGCCAGCCCAGCCTTGGTAGCTTTAAACCAAGTGGAAGGATGCTTAGGGAACTCCTGAATCACCTCCTTCCCTCATTTTACAGGTAAGAAAACTGCAGCCAAAAGAAGGACCATGGCTTTGGAAGGTGGAGTCCAGGCCGAGGAGGTAGATGCTGCCCTTGGTCGGCTCACGGTGTGTGAATATTTTGTTCATGTTGATTCATTAAGAGTTACCACGGTCTTTGTGCCTTGGATCCGGGGCTGGACTCAGACAGAGAGGCGCCAGACCTGGCACCAGTCTGTGAGATCCAGTCTGTGAAGGAGAGCCAAACAGGCAGGCCCACCAGGACCACAATCTCCAAACTCCAGGGTGCCTGGGGAAGCCCTGGATAGCATGATATAGTGCCTCTAACCTCATAACATCCTGAGAAGTAGGTGCACCACTCCCCCATTTTTTACATAGGAAAGTTGACACTCAGAGAAGGTATATCAATAGCTCAAGGTCACATAGCCAGGAAGTAACTTGGGATTCAAATCAAAGTCCATCCATCTCCACGTATAGAAGAGAGACATTTGACTCAGATTTTGAAGGATGACAAGAAGTTCAGCCCTCGCTGGTTTGGCTTAGTGGATAAACATGGGCCTTTGGACTGAAGAGTCCGGGGTTCGATTCTAATCAAGTGCACATGCCTGGATTGTGGGCCCAATCCCCAGTAGGGGGGGTGCAGGAGGCAGCTGATCAGTGATTCTCTCTCATCATTGGTGTTTCTCTCTCTTTCTCCCTCTCCCTTCCTCTCTGAAATAAAATTTAAAAAAAAAACAAAACATATATTTTAAAAAAATAAAAGTTCACCAGAAAGTCTGGTGAGAAATAGATATTATATATAGAAATTACCCCTGGCTGGGTAGCTCAGTTGGTTAGAGCATCATCCTGATACACCAAGGTTGTGGGTTCAATTTCCAGTCAGAGCACATACAAGAATCAGCCAATGAATGAACAACAATCTGTTTCTCTCTCTTGTATTCCAGGTTCTGTGAGGTCTCTGTGGGTCTCTGTGGGGTCTCTGTGGGGTCTCTGTGGGATCTCTGGGGGTCTCTGGGGGTCTCTGGGGGTTTCTGGGGGTCTCTGTGGGGTCTTTGTGGGTCTCTGTGGGGTCTCTGGGGGGTCTCTGGAGGTCTCTGTGGGGTCTCTGAGGGTCTCTGTGGGGTCTCTGGGGGTCTCTGGGGTCTCTGGAGGTCTCTGGGGGTCTCTGGGGGTCTCTGGGGTCTCTGGAGGTCTCTGTGGGGTCTCTGGGGGATCTCTGGGGGGGTCTCTGGGGGTCTCTGGGGGTCTCTGTGGGGCGGTATCAGAGATGGTTCGGCTGGGCAGAGGGCACACAAGGACCTACCGGGCGGCCAGTGGATGTGGCCACCCCGGGTGACCACTGACCGGTGGTGCGTTGCCCCCCAGCCTCTCCAGATGTAGGACGCCGGCCGGCCGGGCAGCCATGGAGTGGCCCAACGACACCAGCCAGGCCCTGGGCTCGCCGCCCACCACCTGCGTCTTCCGGGAGAACTTCAAGCGGCTGCTGCTGCCGCCCGTGTACTCCGTGGTGCTGGCGGCCGGCCTGCCGCTCAACCTCTGTGTCATCGCCCAGATCTGCGCGTCCCGCCGCGCCCTGACCCGCTCGGCCGTGTACACCCTGAACCTGGCCCTGGCCGACCTGCTGTACGCCTGCTCCCTGCCCCTGCTCATCTACAACTACGCCCGGGGCGACCACTGGCCCTTCGGCGACGCCGCCTGCCGCCTGGTGCGCTTCCTCTTCTACGCCAACCTGCACGGCAGCATCCTCTTCCTGGCCTGCATCAGCTTCCAGCGCTACCTGGGCATCTGCTGCCCGCTGGCTCCCTGGCACAAGCGCGGGGGCCGCCGGGCCGCCTGGGTGGTGTGCGGGGCCGTGTGGCTGGCCGTGGCCACCCAGTGCCTGCCCACCGCCTTCTTCGCCTCCACGGGCACCCAGCGGAACCGCACCGTCTGCTACGACCTGAGCACGCCCGCCCTGGCCGCCCGGTACCTGCCCTACGGCATGGCCCTCACGGTCATCGGCTTCCTGCTGCCCTTCGCCGCCCTGCTGGCCTGCTACTGGCGCCTGGCCCGCCGCCTGTGCCGCCAGGACGGCCCGGCCGGGCCCGTGGCCCAGGAGCGGCGCGGCAAGGCGGCCCGCATGGCCATGGTGGTGGCGGCCGTCTTCGCCGTCAGCTTCCTGCCCTTCCACGTCACCAAGACGGCCTACCTGGCCGTGCGCTCCACGCCCGGCGTGTCCTGCCCCGTGCTGGAGGCCTTCGCGGCCGCCTACAAGGGCACGCGGCCCTTCGCCAGCGCCAACAGCGTGCTGGACCCCATCCTCTTCTACTTCACCCAGAAGAAGTTCCGCCGGCGGCCGCACGAGCTGCTCCAGAAGCTCACGGCCAAGTGGCAGCGGCGGGCCCGCTGAGCCCGCCGGGCAGGACGCACCCGGTATCTCGCCGACCGCTATTTATTGAGCCCTTTTTTCTGGACCCAGGCCCTGTGGGCACAGGCACAGAGCAGCCTGAGCCTGGCCCTGCAGAAGGCCCCCTGAGCCACGGAGAGGTGGAGAAGCCGTGGGAAGCTGCTCACAAAAAATATATGTGGCTGAAACCGGTTTGGCTCAGTGGATAGAGCATCGGCCTGCGGACTGAAAGGTCCCAGGTTCGATTCCGGTCAAGGGCATGTACCTTGGCTGCGGGCACATCCCCAGTAGGGGGTGTGCAAGAGGCAGCTGATCGATGTCTCTCTCTCATCGATGTTTCTAACTCTCTATCCCTCTCTCCTTCATCTTTGTTAAAAAAATCAATAAAATATAATTTATATATATATATATATATATATATACACACACACATATATATATGACATGTACTGTAATTGAGGAGTCTGCTGCATGCTTTCGAGTCACTTATTAGGGAGCGAGGGAAGATGGGGGTGGAGGGAGAGCTGCTGGGAAGAGGCATTTGAGCTGGGTTTTGAGGGATGCATAGGAGCTGGGTATGATGTCCCATTCATTCAGCAAACCTTTACTGACACGGCGTGTTCAGGCCTGGGTTGGTTGTGGGCCCCAAAAGAACCAAACCCACACCCATACCGGCTCCCAACTACTGGAAGTTTTGACGCAGTGATGTCAAGGCTGTGGCTGAGGGAAGCGTGGCTGCGTGGGAGGAGTGCCCAGAGGATGCCCATGACCCCGGTCAGGGTCAGGAGAGATCTTTGGGGGGGAGGGGGCAGGAAGGGCAGTATCGGAACCAGATGGTAAAGGCTGTTGGGAGCTCTGCCAGCAGAAGGGGGAGGGAGCATATTAGCACAGCCTGGGCCAGCCCTGTGCTAGGCTCCGCCCGGGGTGGACGGGCAGAGAGCTGGGGTGGGCAGCATGTGGCCTCCGGTGTGTGAAAGCTGAGAAAAGAGCTGTCTCAGGGCCGCTCTCCAGCCCACCGGTGGCAGGAGCGGGCTCGGCAGAGGGAGAAATCAGGGCGTGCTGCTTAGAGGAGGTGGAGCTTGAGGTGGGAGGAACCCAACAGGCTGAGAGGAGGCTGCTGCTCCTGGAGAAGGTTCTGTGCACACAAAACCCAGAGGCAGAGATGCGCTGTGCTTGGAGTAGAGCAAGTGAGTTTCAACTCGGCCCAGGGTTTGGGTGTGTGAGGAGTGGGGCCTTGAGAAGCTGGGTGATGGCATGGCTCACGGGTTGTGCATCGACCTATGAACCAGGAGATCACGGTTCGATTCCCGGTCAGGGCACATGCCCGGGTTGCGGGCTCAATCCCCAGTGTGTGGGGTGTGCAGGAGGCAGCCACTCTCTCATCATGGATGTGTCTCTTTCTCTCTCCCTTTCCCTTCCTCTCTGAAATCAATAAAAACATGTGTGTTTTTTAAAAAGAGGAAGCTGGGTGAGACCACACATTAAAGGCCATCTAAAGGCAGAACAGAGGAAAGAGCCATGAGGAGGCTGCTACATGGAGGCCCGGTGGTCAGGGGCCTGCTGGCCAGTCTCAGGACAGACCGCTCTGCCGGCTTCCTCTAGTCTGTCCACTCAGCTCCATCATTCTGGCCTGCGGGTGCCTGGAAGGGACCTGGGGGAGTTAAACGCCATAGAAATGCCAGGGGCGTCATGCAGCCGGTGGAGGGAGTAAGACCCAGGCCCGGCCACCTTGGGAATCCACTACAGGTGCTGTTGCTGGAGAGCCTACAATGGGCACAAAAGGAACTTTGGTTTGGGGGATAGACACATGGTGAAGTCAGAGAGAGCCTAGTTCTTTTTGTTTTGTTTTGTTTTAATATATTTTTTATTGATTTCAGAGAGGAAGGGGGAAGGAGAAACATCAATGATGAGAGAGAATCCATTGATTGGCTGCCTTCTGCACGCTCCACACTGGGGATCGAGCCTGCAACTCAGGCATGTGCCTCCACCGGGAACTGAACTGTGACGTCCTGGTTCATAGGTCGGCACTCAATCACGGAGCCATGCCAGCTGGGCAGCAGCCTGGGTCTTGACCATTCCAGTGTGGGGCCATTAACGCAGACTTTTGCATAAGATAAGTATCTACTTTTTTTAAGCCCTAGTGGTGTGTCTTTTTTTTTTTTTTTTTTTTTTTTTTTTTTTAAATCTTTGTTACCCACAGCCCACACAAACCCCTTTACTCAGATTCCATCCTGAGATAACAGACCTGGGTGGAGGCCAGGCGGTATCCTGAACTGGGGTGGAGACCTCCACCTGGGGGGAGCTAGGATCAACAGGGTCTGGAGACGTCCAGGAAGGGTTTTGGAAAAGCCTGGGGCGTGGTTACCTCACCTTTGGCTGGAATCTGAGAGGGTGGATAGGCTTCTTGAAGAAGGGGGCTGAATAGAGTTCTAGAACACCAGCATTGGGGGACCGGAGAGAGGAAGGTGGAAGGGGGGCGTGTCTCTGAATTATGGTGATGGGATGAGGCAGTGGAGTTGGGTGAGGGAGGGAGGGCTGGAGGAAAGAAAGTTTAAGTGATGGGTGAAGTAAAGAAAGAATGGTTCTGAGGGAGACCAGGCTCAGGGAAGAAGGTCAGCAATTGAGGGTGGGGGGAGGGGGGTGCAGAAAAGGGGCGTGCCAACATGGGGGAGTCAGAGTCAAAACCAGGGCTTGTTTGGGGGAGATCTCCATTCAAAGCAGGAAAGGTCTGGAGGCACTGGATCTGTCCCCAGCAATGGATGCAGCTGCCTCCTCCCTCCCTCATTCATTTAACAAACATTCCCTGTGCCCCTTGGAGGTGGCGGTGGTGGTGCTGGGAACCCTGAGGCAGCTCAGACCCAGACCCAACAACCCTCAGAAAGGATCCAGGGGCTGGGGATGCAGACAAGGAAACAGACAATTCTTCCAGGAAACATTTATTGAGCACCTACTGTATTCCAGGCATCATGCTGGTAGTGGGTCCCTGTCCTCGGGGACTTCCTAGTCTGATGGAGAATGACAAGAATGAAATGATCACAACCACATCTGGATCGTTACAATTGGAGAGAAGAGTCCAGAAAAACATACAGAGGGCCAGGGGCACAGAAGGTCTCCTAGGGAGACGACAAGCTCATGGAATGGTCAGCAGATTCGGGGACCACAGGGTCCCTGCAGGGCGTCAAGGGCCGAGAAGGTTTCTTAGCCGAAGCCCAGTGGCCTCAGGAGGCATTAGCTCAGTAAAGAAGGGCTGTCACTAAGCCCGTGTCTTTTAACAAACCCCTTCACTTCTGAGCCTCCGTTTCCTCACCTGTAAAAAACCACCAGCTCTCCCTAGGCCACCAGGGTGTTGAGCATTGGAAAGGTTAGAGCAGAATTTTCATGAAGTACCGCAAAGTATTATACCCCAACAGGAGAAGGGGAAAGAGGCACAAAGGGGCACTTTAGAAAAGGAAATGCAGAAAATCGAAACACCAGGAGAGCCTAGCGGGTTTGGCTCAGTGGACAGAGTGTCAGCCTGCGGACCGGAGGGTCCTGGGTTGTTTCCAGTCAAGGCTCCTCCCCGGCCCGGGCCCTGATCAGGGGGCGTGCAGGAGACAACCAATCAATGTGTTTCTCTCCCATCTATATTTCAAAATATTGCACAAAAACGTATCATGTCTAAAAAATCAACAGAAAAACATACTCGGGTGAAGATTAAAAGAAAAACAGAAAAGATACTCTATTCTAGCTTGATAATGCCTACTCATGTTGAGTAGCCACATGGCCCACTGCCCCGAGCACTTCTGCAAATGTGCACTGGAGTGTGCACAGCACTCAGCGCAGCACTAGTCACAAGTGCAAACACCTGGAAACATTCAAGTGCCCATCCACTGGAGAGCAGATGAATGCTATATTCACACATTGGAATATTTCACGCAGCCAGAATGCACTCCGCTAACATATGGGTAAATAGCAGCAGCATAATATTAAGTAAAAACAAGTCCCCAAAATTATATACAGCAATCATATCCCTTTTTGTAAATTAAAAACAATTAAAATTAAAATGTATACTTTAAAGAAACCTACAGATGCAATATAGCTATATAAAAAGGGAATGATGGGCACAGGAGGTGATGGTTATCTTGGGCAGTGGAGCAGTAGGAGAACGGGTGGGGAGACTATATAATGAGATGCAGGATACTGTAAAGGTCCTAGCTGTTTTGGTTTTTCGTGGAAGTCAATAAATAACTGCAGAGAATGTGTCATGCATAAAAGGTTATGAATAATCCAATTCTGTGTGCTTTCCCTTCATGACCCATGGAAGGGGTAATAATATCTACCTTCAAGGTGGCTCAAGAATTAAAACAAATGAAATAATATTTCCAATCCATACAAGACACTGCATAAATCCCCATTCGTCCGTCACTCCGGTGCAGAGCTGTCATGCATTTGCACTGGGCCAGGGAACATGAATGGGACCTGGCAGAGGCAGGCGGGGAAGGGAAAGCCCCAGTATTCCCTGCGAGGCGTTGTGAGACTTGCCAAACCAGATTGGGGGCAGAGGCAGGAGGGAGAAGCGATCCACACCTCCCCTGTCAGGAGGGTGGAGCAGCCGCAGGTAGGAGTGTAGGTTTGGCTGTGGCAAGTGGAGGGCGGTCCTGTGGAAGCTCCTTTCGTACGCGAGGCCGAAGGAGGGAGTGCGCTGTGTTTTAGTTTTAAAAGGGATTAGTTTTTAAAAGACTCCTGAAGGAACTAGGAAGCAACTGAAAGGAGTAAAGGAGGTGGTCTTTCCTACCCTCCGAGGTGTTTTGGGTGGTGGGTGCTGACTTACCTGTCCAGGATTTCCAGCGGGGGGAGGGCTCCCCCACCCCCGCACACACGGCCGGTAGAGGGCGCAAGAGCCACGCACCCTGGCGCTCCGGGGGCGGAGGCGGCCGCGCGGGGCGGGCGGCTGGAAACCTGAGAGGGGCGGGGCGTGGTCCCAGGCGTGGGACTGGTTGGGGGTTGGAGGAGGGAGGGGGGGG